ACTGAGACTCTACTAACAGGACTTGCTGTGAAGATATAATAATATATTTGTTCAGTGCTTGGGTATAACAGAGATGGTCTCTAAAGGAAAACCTTAGAAAATGGTAGGCCAGCGCCCCTGCTATTTCTACAGACTCCTAGCACTAGTAAAGAAAATGTAGAGTAAACAATAAAGAGAAAATTTAGGAGCCGATAGCGTGGCCACTTCTTACAGTGCTTTCACCTGAAAGTGTGCCATATTGAATTTACTTTTATTAACAAACAAAAAAACCCTAACACTGCAGATGTTTAATATTCCTGAGCTGCTTCTTTTTTTTTAAAAGACAGTTGTAATCAAGTATTGGAAAACACAAACCCTTCAATGCCAAGGGAAGACAAATTTTAAGTTTGTACAGGCTGTGATCAGTGATTTCAGTGACGCATCCAGAATTGTAAACTGTAATTGACTTTGTGTTTATAAATTATGCCAATCAGCTAGTTATTTTTGAAAGTTCAAATCCTATAATGTGTGTGTCTATTTTACAGTGGTACAGCACACCACTACTGGGTAGTACTTTCCTTCCTCATGCTGAGTAACAGTCACTATATGTAATGTTTTGCTAAAATGTTGCCAGACATTGTTTGTCCAAGCTTAAATCCCTTCTTGTTCCCACATTCAGCTACTCAAATCTGTCTTTCCATGTTCATGATCAAAGGAAAGTGCAACATGGAATGAAATAACTTGTATATCAACGGATTATGCTATAGAAATTAATTGCTTTTCTGCCCATTTTTCTGTTTGCCTAGGCAGTTTCTGCTTTAGCATATTGGGAAGAATGTAACTTGGATAATGAAACATACTTAATTTATCAGAATTGTGCATCTCCATTTCAAGTAAATTTGTTCAGTTTTATACCTTTCTATTTTGTTGAAGTTTAATAGTTTTTCAAACTGCTCTTAGGTAAGTAAAAAGATGTTTAATAAATGTGCCTGAAAGCAGGTTAAAAACTAACTTCAAATAAAAGAAAAGAAAAATATGGAACAGCATCAATTCAAGGACTTGAGCCGATGTTCAAGGTTTCAGAAAACCCCAAATCCACTCTGACTAGGTTTGCATTCTTAATCTTTATTTTTCACTCTGTGCATTAGGGTGCTACAAGCTGCTAGGGAAACAGCTGCAGATGACTTGGATATATGTTTCAATTAGGGTTACTTTTTTCCCTCCACTTCCTAGTTAGATGAGGCTTTGAACAGTCTGATAAGGTTAGTATAGAAAGTTTGAAGAACTTAGATTTGAAGCTAAGAAAAATAACTTTGGAGGTCTCTGATTCCAACGTGTCGGATACAGCGCCCCTGCCATTGAGCTGCAGAATTATTTGAAGAGTAGTGTCTGCTGGGGAGTGCATGAGTTTTTGCACTAGTGTGATGTTGTTGTCTTACTCTGTTGAAGGTGGTGTATACCTCAGTTTCTTTGCCACAACTGCAGAGAGCACAAGGAACACACCTTTTCTTCTTCTGGACTACACTTTCCTTTAGTCTAGCTTAATATTTTTTTGTAAATAGTTTAGACATGTATGAGAAGGCTATGAACCTTCAGCTCTCACTGGGACTATGTAAGGGCTTCAAGAGGTGCTCTTCTTGTCCAGTGATCGTACTTGAGACAAGCGCCCATGTCCAGTGCTTTCTATGTCTGGGTGAGACCCAGTGGGTAACCTAATGCGTGGTTTCCTGTGTCTTCACTTCCTCTACTAGATGGGGAAGAGATTTGAGGCTCATCAGTGATTTCTCAGTCTCCACAGTGTGATACTGTGACAGGCCCATCAATACTTCTGAGAGCCCAGCCTCTATTCTAAGGTCTTCTGACACAGGATTCGAAACACATTTTTGCCACTCTAGTCTCAGGGCCACGTTTTCTACTATTTTCTAATCACCAAGAAAAGGGGCACTCTGAGACTGATCCTGGATCTCAAAAACCTCAACAGGTACATTCAAGTTAAGGATGCTCATTTGTTATCCCTTCATTATCTCCAGGAGATTAGTATGCACTCTTGGTTTAAAAGATATTTACTGTCATTTGGAAATCACTCACATCAAATACCTGAGATTCTTTGTGTGAGGACGAGACACTACCAGGTGAGTCCTTCCTTTTGGCTGGTCCACAGCCGAATGAGTCTTCAAGTGCCTTGTGGTGGTTGCTGCTCACTTCAGACACCCAGGAATATTTGCCGACATATCTGGACGACTGACTCCGAAGGGTCAGCTCTTAACAGGAGTCTCCTCAGATCCTATACATTTGCATATTCCTCCAGTCTTGGAGACTATCAGTCAAATGGGAGAAAGTCCTCACTTCAACCTGTGCAAAGGATCACCTTCATCGGAGCTGTCCTGGACTCCACTTGGGCCAGAGACTTTCTTCCAGAAGAGAGATTTTTTTTGAAAATTCAAGACTCCTTGGCAAATCTTGGAACAACTACACAATTTTTCCAAAGACTGCTGGGCCTGATAGTCTCCTCATGACCTGTGTCACACCCTTTGCTCATCCGAATATGAGATCTTTGCAGCACTCTATGGTGCATTACTGCACACCAGTGGAAACCGTCTTCAAAGGAGACTTGAGTGTTCCAACAGCTTCATTGGTAGGAGAGCTCTTTTCTTTCTTACCATCACAATTGCCACGGATACCTGCATTTTGGGCTCTGATGCATACTGCCAAGACCACCTATTTCACGTGCTTTAGCCAGTGACTTCAACCATTTTAATGGTTTGACTTTCTTTAAAACTTGGCAGCCAACATGTACCGCTTAATATTATTTTTTGTATTTAAATTATTTTTAGGGCTTATAATAAGTTTGCCTTAATATAGATTGTCAATTTCAAATTAAATATTGAATAGGTTTATTTTTAAAAAATGAACATGTACTTATTTTAAAGAGATTGATTATTTAAATTAGATTTTTTTATTTAAAAGTGTGGATTTTTGTTTTTTGGTTTAAATTATAGATTTTTTTTATGCATGCTGATTCTGACTGTCCTTTTTTTGCTCTTCTTGGAAATGTCCCACTTTGTAGCAGCCTTTGCAGGGAACTCTTTTTGTGTACTGTATATGTTTTTGTTTCAGACAAAATTGTAGTCCTAAGGTAAAAATTTCAAAAGTGATTTAGGCTCCTGTTAGAGAGACAAGATGGGTGAAGTAATATCTTTTATTGGACCAACTTCTGTTGGTGAAAGAGACAAGCTTTTGAGCTATGCAGAGCTCTTCTTCAGGTCTGAGAAACCTACTAAGAGTGTCACAGCTAAATACAAGTTGTAAAAGATTGTTTAACATAAGTAGTTAACTCATTGTAAGATACTATTCAGGGTGAAGTAGCCTGTTAACACGGCTGCAATCATAGGACAAAAAAGGGAGGTTAGTGGGTTACAGATTGTTGTAACAAGCCATAAATCCAGTGCCTTTATTTTAGTGAGGAGCAAAGTTATGAATTTAAGCTTTCAGGCTTGTCTGTTGAAGGTGTTGTGTAGGTTTCCTTTGAGGACTAGGACTGAGAGGTCAGATATGGAGTTGTCGTTTTGTGAAAAGTGTTTGCCCACAGGTGATATGGTATCTTTTGTCTTTTATCATTTTTCTCTGTGAATTCATTCAAAAGTGTAGTGTTTGTCTGGCTTCACCCACATAGTTATTGGGGTATTTAGTGCACTGGATGAGGTACACAACATATTGTGATAGGCATGTGTATGACCCATGGATCTTGAAAAGTGTGTTGAAGGGTATTGACCATTGTATATGTCTGCAAGTTTTTCATCAGTTATGGCAGGGTCTGGTGCTGCTTTGAGTTGGTGGGATCTGGTCTGTGGGGGACTTGCTTCTGATAATGAGGTTGGTGAGATTGCAGAGCAGGGCTGTCTGTTGTTTGAAGACCAGACGAGGGGGTTCGGGAAAGATTTATTTCAAGATGTGTTCCCCAACAAGTATAGGTTGTAAATATTAAATGATACGCTGTATGGATTCCAGTGTGGGGTGGTAGGTGACAGCTAGGTGCGTGCGGTCAGTGGGTTTTTTCCTGTTTTGAAGGAGTTTCTCTTGGAATATTTGGGTGGCCTGTTCCATGACATGATCTACTTCTCTGGGGGAGTGTCCTTGTTTGGTGAAGGCAGTTTTAAGCGTGTTAAGGTGTGTATCCTGGACTTTCTCCACTGAGTATATTCTGTGATATCTGAGTGCCTGGCTACAGATAACAGGTTTCTTGGTGTATTTGGAGTGGTTACTTGATCTGTGTATGTAAGTGTGATGAGCCATGGGTTTCCTGTATACAGTGGTCAGTAGGGTTCCATTGCTGAAGCTGATCATGGTGTCCGGGAAGTTGATGCTGGTGCAGGAGTGTTCTAGAGAGAGTTTAATGGATGCGTGGTGATCATTGAAGTTGTGATGGAAATCAGTGAGGGAGTTTAGGTTCTGTCCAGAGGATGAAAGTATCATCAATGTATCTCAGGTATATAGTTGGTTTCATGGTGCATTTGTCCAGAAATTCTTCCTTAAGGTATCCCATGAAGAGGTTGTCGTATATTGGAGAACCACCCTACTACCCATGGCTGTTCCCAGGGTTTGGACAAAGCATTGTTGAATTGTTATAAAATTGTTATGGGTGAGGATGAAATGGATGAGTTTGACAGTATGCTTGGGGAATAGCTGAGTGTTGTCCATTGCCTTGTACATATGTGAGGCAGGCGGTGATGCCATCATTGTGAGGAATGTGGGTTATAGGGAGGTGACATCCACAATGACAAGGATGGTGTTCTGAGGGAGGTTGTTAATGTTGTGGAGTTTCTAGAGGAAGTTGGTTGTGTCTTGAAGGAAGCTGGCCCTTTGTGTGGTGAGTGGCTTGAGGCTGGTTTCTGTAAGTCCTGATATTCCTTCAGTAAGAGTGCCATGACCAGATATGATCTGTCTGAGTGGGCTTCTATGTCACTTAGGTGTCTTTGAACGTTTTACCCCAGTTCTTAATGTCACATCTCTTTATATTTCAGGTACATGCAAAGTTTCCTTGAGTTTTTAGAATATGAAAATAAAAGCCCTGAGGATCCTCATATTCTGGATAAGTAAGTAATGATTTATTTTAGAAGTAAAACCACCATAGGAAAACGATCTGTTACAAGCCAGGATTTCTGTTTATTGTAACAGCACAGAAGTAATCAAATTTGTAATGTAGAATTCAGGTAGTTAAGGTTGAGTTTGTACTAACTCAAACATAAAATCTAAGTTTGTTTGAACAACCTATGCTGTATCCTGCTAGTTCCTAACTTGCAATACTGTATAATGTGTTAAAGTAAAGGTATGTAAAAGAAAAAAATTATATATAAATAAAGGTATACTAAAGGTACCAAACACTTTTAATACCAAAAAAAAAAAAATACTTAAGTACTCTGTTTTTCTTGAGCTCAGGTACTCTATTATAGTATTTTAATGTATTATGTTAATGTATTAATATTTCAAACAGGTCTATAACTTGGAACAGAACACTTACCATACAATAAAAATTACTTCGGGTGAAATCCTGTCACTATCGGAGTCAATGGGAGTGTTGCCATTGATTACAATGGGGACAGGATTTAACCCTTCATTGCTATCTATCAGAGCTGAATTCAGACTAATGACTTTGAAGTGAAAGGTTTCATGGCCCAAATTCAGACCAGAGAAAAGCAAGCCACAACTTCCACTGAAGATCAATCTTATTCTGATTTTCTTACTGCCAGTAACAAACACTCTACCTCAGATGAGAAAGTCATGCTAGCTCCTTTCTTGCTCATGCATCAATACCATTAAAGAAAAGATTCTGTGTTTTTAATTACCTTAGATGTTTAATAAACTGCAGTGTAGAGAGTCCATCCAATACTGTAGGCACCCTTGACACTCTTAAAAATATACTAATAAATAGGCAGACCCATCAGTTACCCAAAATCTTATCAAATAACCCAGCAACAGCATAAATATAACAAAAACTAATCAACAGACTCCAACACCACTGCTATTCAGCCCTGTCCTACATTCATATCTTCATAGTCAAGGGAGAAAAGGTGGGGACTCTGAAGGCTAATGGACTTGGACTGTTACAGAGTTGAGGAGGAAGCAAGTTCCAAAAGTTCTCCATTACATCTGTATAACCATTTGATTCCTTTGAGTTTACACAGGTATGACTGAACACAGAATTTGGCCCTTCATTTGAAACTTGGTAGACAATTTTGTTGATGATGCATGAGAAGGAATAAACTCTGCTGATGCTCCCTCAGTTATATTGGTTCTGCAGTGCTAACAGTATTGAAGTAATAAGTTCTTTTAGTCATTAAAGTAAACAGATTAGACTTGGTGCTGATCTGTTGAGTAAGATGTAGTGTTTAGTTTTTTCCTGTGTAGACCAGGACAGCACTTTAAACTGACGTTTCTAATAGCTATATTCTCTTCCAAAAAGGTAAATAAGATATGTCCTCATGCTTCATTCTTGGTTTTTAAGTGATTCTCAAACTTCATCACAGATTTCTCACTCAACTTGTATACCAATTCCATTTAAAATGAGTCCCTCTGCCTGTCTCTCATTCTAAATCCTTCAAGTGGAAGATTTTCTCCATAAGCTGGATATCAAAAATGCCTTCCACTTTTATGTGGAGAGATGAAAGTTTTTGCATAACTCTTTTCTTGTGTTTAGGTCAAAAAGGGTTAACCTATCCAATCAATAGTAATCTAAATGGATAGTCACTTGAATTGTGACTTATTCAGAAATTGCCATTACAGAAGGTTGCCACGCTTACTCTGCTAAAGCTGTGGTGACGCTCTTGTGTTGATACAAAAGCCAGATCAGAAGTTAGATCTGATACACGTTTTGGTAAAACTTCTCCTTCGGTCTGTTTACAAATTATGGAGCTCTTCAGCCTTGCAACAGAGGGGTTAATGCTAGGTAATCTCTGTGAGTGGGGACATCAGTGAAAGATTTTTCATGAAAAATACAAGGTTATTTGCCAATAGAGTTCTCCAAATGTATTGACTACTAAGATCTACGGATCTTGTTACATCATCTCAGCTTGTCTTCATGTAGCTACTGTTTCTGGATAGACAGTTATAAAATGAAGGGGTAAAGAACTCCTCTTCTTCTTACTGATGCTGCCTTCATGCACATCTGCCAAAGCACATGAAGTTGACTAGGTTCAACCAGTTTTCTAAGAATTCCTGCTCTGTGCAACTCAATGTTACTTACTATGGGTTTGCTGAAATAGTATGCAGTATTTTGAAAACTTGGCTACTAGTGACTAACTCAGAATATTAATAAATTTCTTCATTCTGGTGTCATGTGAGCTTTGTTTGAAATAATTGGTGCTCTTCTACAGTCTAAAGTGAAAATATCAGGGGCCAACTTGACCGACATGGGGCATAGCAAGATTAAGGAAAAGTGGTAAACTCATAAATAAACAAATATATTCAGGTTGTTAGCCTTTTTAAAAAACGTTTCGGTCTATCTTAGTTCATAGACAGAAATATCTTCAAGAGTGAAGCAAAGCATCTTTGAAGATAGGACGAGGAGCAGTTGCATCCCAGAAATAACTAAAGATTCCTTTATAATACATGTTGTCCTCTGTACCACTGAAGGATTCTGGTTTCTAGGCAGGCATGCTTTCTGATGTGAAACATAAAGAAATTCAAGTTTGTTTCCTTGTAGCACTATATCTCTATTTGCAGAAGAGAAAATAAGATTTTATGTTACTGTACTTCTTTGCAACCAAAAAAATGATTTTGCCATTCACAGCTAGGAAGCAAAGGACTGAAACCTCTCTTTTCTTGGCATTTAACTCTGAGATTTCAGTGGTTACAGATCACACATAATCAGAAAGGCCTAACCTATTTAAAAGAATCTCTGAAGCCTTAAGCATTAAAGTAGTTTTGAAGAGGGGATGCTTGTCCAATCATCAAGGTAGGTGAGAATGTAAGAACAGCCCTTCTTTATTTTAAAAGTCTTTAGATTTGGGATTAGGCAGTGTCTGTTAAGACGTCCACATTACTGCTTATTTTGCAAAGTATTATGTCATTTTGAAAGACTAGATGAGCCATTTGTGGAGGCACTTAAGAATTTCTGATTAGATGGGAGATGGTGAATATGTTATTTTAAAAGAGGAACATTCCTTCACAATCAGCAATGTAGGGTGAAGGGGAAAGCATCTTTAGGGAAAATGGATACAATTATTACTCATTAAGAGAGGTACATGTGACATTACCCAAGGTACAATCTGGACTGTTGAACAGCAGTGGCCACTCAATTCTCCAGCCTGGGGTGCCTTTTATACTGTTTACTGTGAGAGCAACCACTCTTGCTCAGCTCACACGCAGCCTTCAGCATGTGAATTACTCCCAGATACTACTTTGAGTGCTACAGCCATCCACCAATGAATTAAGCTGCAGGGCAACACCAGCAAACTCCCAGTCCCAGACTTTCCCCCAGACATGTGCATCTTGTAGTGCCCAGCTCTCTCCTTCTGGACAATACAAGCTCATATAAAGTCCATCATTTCATTAATAGAAAAGTATATGCCCAAATCCAGTTACCTGGAATGGAGTTTCCCAAACACACTGGTTTAGATAAAACAAGTTCATCAACGACAGAAAGAAAAATTTTAGGTGATTACAAGTAATGAGGCATACAAGTCAGAATTGGTTATAAAAAATAAAAGGTAAAATGCAATTAATATCTAATTTAACAAGCTAAATGAATTCCAAGCAAAGATCTCTCTCACCACATGCTTACTGGCTGGATTCCTTTCAGCCACAACCCCTCCCGCAGTTCAGTGTTAATTTCCTTGTCCTTTGGGGGTGTTGGTGCTGTGGGCAAAGAGAAAGGGGGGAATCTTTTGAGGTGTCTGCTCTCCTTTTATCCCTAAGGGCATGTCTGCACTTACCTCTGGAGCGATCGATCCAGCGGAGGTCGATTTATCATGTCTTCAAATCGACTGCGAAGCGCTCTCCCGTCGACTCCGGTACTCCACTGGAGCGAGAAGCGTAGGCGGAGTCGAAGGGGGAGCGTCAGCAGTTGACCTACCACAGTGGAGACACTGCGGTAAGTAGATCTAAGTACGTCGACTTCAGCTACGTTATTCACTTAGATCGATCCCTCCCCCCCAAGTGTAGACCAGGCCTTATAGTTCTCTTTTTCTTTGAAAATCATCTCCAGCTGAGGTTCAGAAGACAAAAAGTCTGTGGCGATGGGAACCTTCAACCGTTTCTTTGCCAAGATATACCTTTACATACAACGTTGCCCACACACATTGGACTAGGACAATAATTGGCAAATTATGAGTTTTCAAATGATACCTCACAAGGCATATTTTGTTCAAAATGTATCATAGACTTGTAAAAGGGATGAACATAGGGATACAGACTGTCACAGTACATTTTACTTCCCAACAGTGCTATAGGCCAGAAGAGTATAAGAAAGTGGGAAATAGATAAGGTTCTAAGAAACTGATAAAATGGCTTTTTTTCCCTTTTTAACTTTGAGGAATGGTGTGAGATAAAGTAAAGAGGGACAGACTAGAGGCATCAGTCTCCACTTTAATTGGGTTTATCACAGGAATGTTTAAAACTTCTGAATACCCCATAAATAATCCAGGGATGTGGTGAGAATTCCTTTGTTTGCAAATAAATAATTAAAGCCCCTTTTGAGTACTTGCAACTTTAATCTGAGAGGTTATATATTGACTTTTAGGCCTTATCTACACTACAGAGTTTTGTCTCCAAAAGTCAGTTTTTGTCGACAAAACAATGGAGGTGTACTCACTACAATACTCCTTCTGCTGACAAAATTCTCCTGCTTTGTTGACAAAATAAAACTACCTTGACAAGAGGCTTAGAGCTTTTTGTGGGAAAGTTACATCAACAAAGTGTCAGTGTAGACAATATGCTTGGTTATGTTGCTGTATATGGCCTACAGGAGGTGCCCCACAATGCCCATTCTGAATGCTCTGGTCAGCAATTAGACCTCTACTGCCCTGCAGCCAGGTACACCCCTCCCCCTTTAAAGACCCAGGAATTTTTGAAATTCCACTTCCTGCTTGCTTGGCATGGATGGTTCATATTGCATCTTCCCAGCTGACCATGGAGGCTCCACACAGCAAATGCTTTCCCGCTTGGAGCACACCTGAGTTGTTGGATATGCTGGCACTGTGGAGAGAGGAGGAGGTGCAGTCCTAGCTCCACTCCAGCTGTAGGAGCTTCGATACCTACAGTCAGATTTTTCGTGGCATATTGGAAAAGAGCTACGAACAGCACACATATCAGTGCTGCGCAAAGATAAAAGATCTGAGGCAGGTGTACCAGAAGGCAAGAGAGTCAAATGGTCACACTGGTGCTGCGCTGAAGACTTACGGCTTCTATAAGGAGCTGGATGCCATCCTCAGCAGTGACCCCACCTCCACTGCCAAGAGCCCCATGGATACTTCGGCAGGGTTGGAGACAGTGGACTCGACCCCGAGGACGAAGTTGTGAACGAGAGGTTGAGTTGGAGGATGAGATGGGACAGGCAATAGGGTCATCTGGTACCATGGCAAGCCAGGACCTCGTCTCGACCCATGAGGGTTTGAGCCAATCCCAGCACTCTGTCTCTGGTGTGCATGATGCACGCGTGGGGAGCTCTGGTAAGTGATCTTCTTGAGTTGATGCTGCATATGAGGTAGAGTGTCCTTTTCTTTGTTATATTCTAGAAGTGGATGAAGGGATAGATATGTATGAGACTAGTTGTGTTTGTGTGTGCCTCACATTCCCCTGTGGAGCAACGGAACAGTGTTAATGTGCACAGAGATTTCACGGGAATCCTCCAGAGAGATTTCTAGGAAACTTTCCTGGAGGTACTCACCAATTCTCTGCCAAAGATTCCTTGGCAGAGCTGCTTTGTTCCTTCTCCCATTGTAGGAAACTTTCCTGAAATCCCTTATGCAGGGACCGAAGTGCCACACAAGCGAGCAGCATAAGGACCTGATCTGAAGCCCCACGCATGCATGAGATGCACTCTTGCATCCATGCTTACCCTCAGGATTGAGATAATGGCTGTGGAAAATGGTGGCAGAATTTTCAATTTTGTACCTCGTCGCCTACAATGATCCCCTTAAAAAAGCCACTTAGACCCTTTGCCCCATCTTGAGCATCCTGACCCCTGGGCCGAATTCACCATATTTAGGGCATTCGCCGAGCTGTGTGTTTGCCAAGAGACAGTGAGAAACTGATTCGTATTTAAAAAGATGTGTATTTTACTATAATGATTTGATGCTGGAGTGCACTAACAATCATGCTTGTGTTTGTTGTTTATTGTGGCTTTCAGGGAACCCCCTATAAACTTGCGGAGCACCTCCGCCAGATAAGGAAGCAATCGAGGAGGAGTAAGGAGGACATGTTTCGAGAGGTGCTCCAATCCTCAGAGACTGAAAAACAAGAACGCAGGGTGTGGAGAAAGACTTTAAATAAAAATTATAAAATAGACAGGCAGGGCAGAAAGGACAGCCAGGAGTGAATTTTAATGGGCCAGGAGTGGATGATAAAAGTGATGGAGGAGCAAACGGAGATGTACAAGTCCCTAATCACACTGCAAGCAGAATACACGCGTGCTTGACCCCCCTGCAGCCGATGCAGAACTGCTTGCCATGCCCTCCCCAAACTGTTCCCAAACATTCCTTGCAACCTCCCGTCTTGGTACCCCATTCACTCCACCCATTCAGACAGCTTCCAAAATGATAGCTGGACTTACACAAAGCTATGAGAGCCTACACTGCCCTTCACTGTTATCTCCCTTCCACCAAGTGTTTTGTGTGTGTTCTTAATTGGTATTTAATAAAAACATACTTTCTGAAAGATAATCTTTATTTGTCTCCTACACATGGTGGTTTCTGCAGCAATTAATACACAGTGGCAATTGGATTATTTGTGGACTACAAATCACGGTCAGGAATCATCAAATTTTTCATGCAAGGTGGCAAGTTAACAAAGCATGGCAGAATGCTGTATAGAAAGGCACATTACTGGTGCTCATTGTCAAAATGGTGCCTCAAAGCCTCCTTGATTTGAATAGCCCCCGTTGTGTCCCTCTAATAGCCTCAAAATCAGCCACCAGGTGATCTGCCTCCACACTCCACCCCAGAGGAAACTTTTTACCCTTAACCTCACAAATATTATGGAGAGCACAGCAGGCCTCTATGACCATGGGAATATTTTCCTCATTTAGATCTAACCTGCCACAAAGGCAGTGCCAGTGTGCTTTTAATCCGTCAAACGCACATTCTACTGTCATTCTGCACCTGCTTAGCCTATTGTTGAAGCACTCCTTGGTTCTGTCTAGGTTTCTCTTGTAAGGCTTCATGAGCCATGGGAGTAATGGGCACACTGGGTCTCCCAGGATCATTATGGGCATTTCAACATCCCCCATTGGAATCTTCTGGTCTGGAAAGAAAGTCCCCGCTTGCAGCTTTCTGTACAGGCCAGTGTTCCTGAAGATGCGTGCACCCCACATTGATGTCAGTGAAACACCCATGGTAATCCACAAACGCCTACAGTACTGTAGAGAAGTACTCCATCGCAGGATGGTCCGGAGCCAAAATTGGGATGTGTGTGCTATCTATCGCCCCTCCTCAGCTAGGGAATCCCATTGACGCAAAGCCATCCACTATTTTACGCACATTTCTAAGAGTAACAGTCCTTCATAGCAGAATGTGATTAATAGCCCTGTACACTTGTGTTAATGCAGCCCCAACGGTCGATTTCTCAACTCCAAACCATGACCGACCGGTAGCAGTCTGGAGTTGCCAGCTTCCACGTAGCGATTGCCACGTGCTTCTCCATTGAGACGGCATCTCCCATTTTGGTGTCCTTGCCCTGCAATGCTGGGGCGAGCTCTTCACCCAGTCCCTGGAATGTGGCTTTCCGCATCAGAAAGTTCTGCAGCCACTGCTCATCATCCCAGACCTGCATCACAATGCGATCCCACCATTCAGTGCTTGTTTCCAAAGCTCAAAAGCAATGGTCCACCATTTGCAGCTGCTCTGTGAATGCCAAAAGTAATCTTGTTTCCATGGCACACAGAAGGTCCATGGCACACCTCTGATTCCTGTTCAGCTTGTGATATACTGCATGACCATGTGCAGTGTGTTCATAACAGTGACCACAACAGTAGACAGCAGTGCAGGATCCATCCTTTCAGACTGAGATGGCAGGCGCACAGTAAGCGGGCCGTTGGAAATGCCGCAGAATGCAGTCAGAAGCCTATGGAATGATGGGATGGAAAAAACTGCATCATAGGACATTGTCTGCACCCATGATGCATTGCGATCAACTCCGCCTTCCCACAATTGCTAGCTGCAGAAAATGGCGAGTAGCACAGTGGGATAGCTACCCACAGTGCATTGCTCTCACTGTTGATGCTAGAGCACCAACCGTGGACATGCTTTGCCATCAGAAAGGGTGTTATGTGAACATGCACAAGCAATGTGATTATAGTGGTTTTTGATCGTCAGCATAACTTGTGTTGACAAAACTCTGTAGTGTAAACAAGACCTTAGAAGACGTAAATACTAGTGACTAATCAGTCTTCCATTTTCTATAACTTCATACAATCTAATGTATTATTATTTGCTTCCAGAGGTGGTCCTTAGTTTAATGAATTATTCACCCAGTTTGTCAAATACTTTTCTTCTGTGATCATTATAAAGCCATTGAGAATTTGCGTCAGAGTTAGCATATAAAAAGACTCCCGAGTTTTGCAGACACAGCTACAACTTAATAAAAGCGTCACCATCTTTGCTTCCTTTTGAAAAGTATGTTGCATTTGTTTCTATTTGATCCTGAAGGAAGGGAAAAAGCATTATTGTCAATGTAGTATATGATCGTCATTAATGTCAGTGATGTGGCAGAGGTGAAGATTGCTAACTTTTCATGTTTTAAGATTAATAAAAAGATATTAAGTCATCCTTCTTTAAAATGTGAATGGTTCTTTTCAATATTTTGTACCTCAAAAGAATTGTATGTAAAAGGAAAGGGTAATTCTTTAAATATCACAGGCTCTGGTCTGCTTTGACAAGAAAGTAACATTTTCCATCTATTTTAGAATATATGCCTACTGTTGTCTTGCATCAATACCATTAAAAAGAATAACTGAAAGTAAGCTCCTAAAACTTCTTGATCTCAAAGGGGAAGATACTACAGGAAAAAGGAGAAAGCGCCATTGTGTGTTTTCTGCCCTCTAGAGGCATAAAAAGAAACTGAACAGAATTGTGTCTGTGCACATGGCAATACTACTTGTTACTTAAACATAACCATCCTCATAAATTCCTTCCATCTGGTATCTACTCTAAAAACAAACTGGGGGGACACCTTTCTGGTAATTCTGATAAACAGCCAACTGGTCTCTTCTAAGTCATCTCCCCACCAGTCCACTGTCTCCTGCAGAATTTGCGAACCAAGCAGAAGTAGTGACATCTGTTCTGGATTGTCAGAGAAGAAAGGTCTGGAGAAAACACAATTTTAAATAAATTGTTATGGGACATAACTAGAGTTATCAAGAGGCCTTGAATGTTTACAGTAGTTTGAACATACTGTTGCACCCTAATATATTTCCCTTTAGCATAACGTGTGGTAGATAGTAATGTAGGTGGACTTCTGTTCCTTTGATAAACTTTTGGAGACTCTGGGGGATAAACAATAAGAAACTCTTATATGCAAATGAATATTTGAAAACAGCGGTGTGAGATGCAGAGATTCCTGTTACTCTAACATTCTGTTTCTAATTTTGTGTTTCTTTCAGCTTTTTAGAAGTTTTAATTAAAGTAAGGAACAGACACAATGATGTGGTTCCTACCATGGCTCAAGGGGTGATTGAGTACAAGGAAAAGTATGGCTTTGATCCGTTTGTTAGCAGTAACATCCAGTATTTTCTAGATAGGTTCTACACCAACCGCATCTCTTTCCGCATGCTTATTAACCAGCACAGTAAGTAATTGCTTTGTTTTTCAACTTGGAGGAATACTTGGTTGTTGCTTATAAACCTAAAATGACAGCATTGATTTGGCATTCCTCGCACCAATGACTAATTTTAATATTCTGAGGTGAAGATGGTAGATGATATATTGTGACAGTTGGTTATTTAAGTAGTGCAGTATTTTTGAGGTGTCTAGAAATTAATTTGAACCACTAAGCAGAATAACAGCCCTGTATTCCAAAGTGATAGGCTTGCAGTGAAGCTCAATAGTTCTATTTTGTCAATGTGACTACATTTTTTTTTCCACCCTGTTAGCAGATACAGTGTGCAAGGCGATGTATAAGGTATTTTTAGGTACTAGTAAAATAACTACATCTTCTCTGCCTACCAGTCCGCTCTGTAGATTTGACACGTTTCATCATCAGACAAAAAAGTCTTCCACCTTTTTAATTTTGTTGTGTTTATGAGTAGTGTTTGTTCACTGTGCATATTTTAAGAGCTAAATAGTTTCCAGCAAATTATGCTGTCTCCTGTTGTTAATTCACCAACCTCTTTTTTTTCTTTTCTAAAAACACTATTTCTCACCTGAGATTTCAATTGTTATTCTTCCCTTTATTAATCAACACAGTAGTTCTGATTTTCATACTTTTCCCTCAAATTAGATTCTCAGGTTTGTATTGTTTAAGTATCCATTGTTGGTATTCATCTTGTAGTGTGAAAGGAATTACTTACATAGCTCCCAGTAACCAATATTTGTTGCATTTCAAAGTTAAGGTCAATCTTGTGATCTCTTGAAGTGTATATTTGCATCATGGGCTCTAGGGTTTCATTCCCTGTCCAATATTTTTCTGTTTGTGACATCTTAGAAACATGGGCACACTACATATGGTAGGGTTATATGGTAGGAAAAACGTTAAATCCAGGGTGTATTACTAACAATTACATATGTATCCAGTAACTCTTATTTATAATATGACCAGTGAAAGGTGTTAACTGCATTAGTATAACAAGGCTAAAAAGATTAGAATAGTATATCCACTTAGCAATAAATCTGGCCAGACATAGAAACAAAGACAACAAAGCTAGATAAATAAAAAGGCCCCTCTTAGAAAATAAATGTTAATAATAAATAAAGGTTTCATCCTATCAGAGTTTGTAGGTCTAGTCTAAACACAACAGTTGCACCCGTTTAACTAACTGTGATGTTAACTGGTTTAGTTAGCTGGTGCAACGTTGAGTCTGGACACTCATACCAATTTAAACCTGGCTTATATAATTACTTTGTACAAAGTTGCAGCAGTTTAACTAAACCAGTTTAATATTACACCTTTAATCAAACTGGTGGAATTTCTTTGTGTAGACAAACTCTAGTGATCCGGCCTTGATTAGTTAAGGGCAGATTGCTCTCTTAAGTGTTGAAAGAGAGATGGCTAGGACAAGTTTTGAAAACAGAGGCTTCATGTAATTTGGCCTTGACCCCTACAGAATTCTATTTAATTTATTGTTGACGAATGGATGCTAAGTATTAGAAACCTTTTATACTTACAGTTCCTACCTACTGGGACCTTCTTATTGTAACATCCTCATTATTGTAATAGCTATGCACTGAGATAATTATATGAATTCATTTGTATCTGTACTGACTCTAGTCTATCCTGAGAACTATGAGACTTTTTCTCTTCCTTCTGGATAGACATAAATGGACTCCAGTGCATTCATTTCTCATATTATATCAGATATTGCAAGCTATAATTTTTAAACAAAGTTTTCCCTAGAGAGAGGGCAATAGTCTTGATCAGGGACTGACATTATGGTGAAGTATCTTTTTGCAGAGTGACACCGAATCTTTTCAACACATTATCTGATTTAACTTTTTTATGTTGTTTTAAATGTAATAGCCATTCACTTAACTGTCAACTTTTTTTCCTCTTAGCACTTCTTTTTGGTGGAGATACTAATCCTGCTCATCCCAAGCATATTGGAAGTATTGATCCTACCTGTAATGTGGCTGAGGTAGTAAAAGGTAAGGAGATAAATTTAATATTTGTATTATGTTTCAAACCCCAATTTACACTTATACATACATAACTAGTTAAGGTGTCCAAGACAGAAAATATATTTCCATTTAATTAAAATTTTAAAAAACCTCTAAGGAATGATACACATTCAGTTGCTTATAGTGAGGCCATAAAAATATCAAAGTTCCTAATAATATTAATAATATCTAGCTCTTACAGCACTTTTCATCTGTAGATCTCAATGTACTTTACAAGGAAGGTGGGTACAGTTATCTCCTTTTAACATATCGGGAAACTGAGACAGAGGTGAAGTAAAGGCTTGTCCAAGGACACCCAGCAGGCCAGGGGCAGAACTAGAACTGGAACTAGAACTCATGTCTCTGTGTCTTAGCCTGGTGCTTTATCTACTATATCACACTTTCCAGTGGCCTCAAAATCCAAAAATCTGAAACTAGTGGAATGTTAATATAGCTACAAAAAATGGAATTATAACTTTATCTTGTACTACAAGGACCGATTAAAGTTTTTTATCCTTTTCTTATGTTTGATGTGGTGGTTAAATTATTTTCCAAAAAGTATTTAAGAATACATATTCTACTTGACATCCTTTCTAAAGGAAATCAAGGAAATACATAATCATCTGTTCTTGTACAATTATTCAAGTAAGGCTCTACAATAAAGAAACAAACACCATAAGAAAGTGAGGTTATAATTACTCCTGGGGGAATTCTGTTGCACTGCGTGCACGCATAATTAATGAGCCATACATAATTTTAATTTTTTTGTGCAGAAAAAAGCTTCTGCTGGAAAGTTGCTGCAATTACACCTTTTGCTCACCAGAGGGCTCTATGGCACTAGAACGGAGCAGCCTCCCCCACCAGTCCCATCAGAAAATACTGTAACTTCACTGGAAAGTTGCTGCAGTTCTGCCTTTTGCCCACCAGAGGGCTCTGTGGAGATAGAACAAAGGGCAGCTCCCAGCCAGCTGGGGAAGACAGAACCTGCCTTCTTCACAATGCCTGTCCGGCGATGTCAGGAGACAGGGGCTATGGGGAGACAGACAGCGTGGTGCTGCTAGGGGATCAGACAGGGGCTCATAAGGGCTAGTGAGGGAGGACAGACTGGGGCAGGAGCTGAATGGGAGTGGAGGCATAGGGCCACAGAGGGGAGGGAGGTGCAAGGCCAGCTAGGGAGATGAGGGTGTCTAAGTGGGAGCACAGAGACACATGGGAATGGTGGAGGGGGTGCAGGGCCACATAGGGACAGGGGGTGGCTGAGTGAAGGCACAGAGACACATGGAGATGGAGGACAAGGAGAAGGGGTGCAGGGACACCTGGGGACGGGAGGAGGTGCAGAGCCACGTGGGGATGGGGAGAAGGGATGTCTGAGTGGGAGTGGAGGGACACGTGGACAGGAAGTTCAAGGACACATGGGGGACAGGGGCAGATGTGCCTGACTGAATGGGAGAGACTAGAAGTCAGCCAGGGTCTGCATGGGGGAAGCTCCCTAACAATTCCTCCCCACCCCCTGCAAAAAACCTATTCCATACTTTTCCCACCCATACCCAACAACCTTCCAAGTTCACACCCACGCTCCTTCCCAGCAATTACTTCCCTCTCCCTCAAGTCCGCTGTCACCCCGACTCCCCCCAAGCCTTTGCACTGCTTCTGAGGGGTGCAAGAAATATATTTCTGTAATGTACTTTAAATGAATTATTACTCAGAGTTCTATATTAATAATCCTGAATCTTTTTTGTTGTCTGTAACAGTACAGACATACTTGCTGACAGGTATTTGAAATAAATGATCAAAAATAATTGAATCTGATGTGATTATATTGTGGTGTTTTGAAAAATAAAATATGCAGAATTGAAAATATTGTGCGCAGAATTTTTAATTTTTTGTTGCAGAATTCCCCCAGGAGTATTACAATACAGGAATAATCTTCAGATATTTAGAAACTCTTGGCTTTTGTCTTTGGGCACCAAGCATATAGGGAAGTTTTGATATAACTGTACACCTTGTCACACAGTGTTGCTCCCATGGAGCATGCGTGTGTGTGGACACACACACACAAATGTTCCATATGCACATGAATAAATGCACATGCATATATGTGTTCTATACATATACATCTGAGCATATACACACACAAACATTGGGTACCTATTAGTGTCGTCTGTGTATGGAATGTGAATTCTCAGTTGATACATTCTCATGTGAAGACATATTGGCCAACTATGCCAGATGTAATCTAGTGGAAGAATATTGGGATGCCATATGAGAACTGGTGTTGGGCATCAAATCTTGGTCTTTAGTTCTTGGGTTGACAAGGGCTATGAACATAGTGGAAGCAGAAACCATTTTACACCCATGAGAGGAGGTATCCATGCTGTTCTCTGTTGATCTGATTTCCTCCATATTAACTCAAAGAGCAAAACTGATTGCCTCTAAGGGAGTGTTCCCACAATGCTTTAAAAGAGGGGAGAAAAATGAAGAAAATAGTTGGAGGGAATCCTTAGTGCTAGGAGAGGGTATTATGATCCTTATGAAGGAAGGAGAGACACCACGTGAGAAACTAGTGGAACACAAAGCACCTTTTTAAAACTACGGAATCTATCCATGTACGTACTTGAAAATTTTATTTTGATATATGCTATAAAATACATAATTTGTGTAAGCAACAGTATAGAAGTTCAAGTATATTAAAAAGGAAGAAAAAGGACATGCTAAACCCTACAGAATAAGTTTGTTCAGCAAGCCTCTAATACAGCAGAATTACAAAGCATTTTTTAATATTTAAGTAGCAGCTGCCTAAATATATATACTAATTGCATAGTACTGATTGCAAGTGGAACTGTATTCAAGCAATGTGATACTTTATTTCACCCTTTGTTATACATTTGTGTATCAGTTGATGTGTCTGTAATGTTTCACTTACAGTCTTGCTGCTTTATAAGCATTTGAAGATTAATATTAACCTTATCCCAGTTTTGCTTTTGGAGTAAGTAGTCTATCCCTAAGTGACCTCATTTTTACTGAGCTTTTTTAAATGTTTTTTGAATGTTTAGTGAAACCATGTGAAATGTAGTATATGAATTATAAATAACTATAAATTACAGAACTTGAGAATAAATTATAAGAGTTTGCGTTATTTTGATATCAAAGAATTCTAACCCCATAGATTCAGATTTTCTTTCTTTTTTATGAAGTCATTGCAGTTGCAAATTCTTCATAAATTAGTATTTTCCAGTATACATAGTAATTGGTGAAACAGTTTATTTTTATCAGTTAACGATGGCTGCCTTATAAGAAGTGCTGTTTTGTGCAGTGTGTTTTCAAGATAGCTGTTGTGTGCATTGTGTTGCAATTTTTTGTCAGCAGGTGGAGATATGGCATAGATTGCCAAAGCAGGAAATATAATCAAAATGGATTCTTGATGTTCCTTTGATTTTTGTTTTTCTGTTCTAAACCATAATAATTATTGATGCCATATTGATGAGTCTTGAAATTTAAGCTACTGAATTACAACATTTAAATCTAACAAGTATTGATAGGCACGGCTATATAATCCTTAATCACTTGAATCGTTTTGTTATAGTGAGACAGTAGCACCACTAGTTAAAGATGAGACTAGAGTTGATGAATAATTATTTTTTGATTCAGTGGCTGAACTGAAAAATCAGAAGGGGAAAAAAAAAGTTTCAGACTGAAACTTGAATTTATTAGTTTTTTCTTGATAAAACAAAAAACTGAATTTTTTTTTATTCAGGTAAAATGAAATATTTTAATATCAATTTGAAATGATATTTTGAAACAAAATGTTGATATGAAATGACATTTTTGAAATTTTCATGTTGGGGTTTTTTTTCCAGCTAAAACTGTTTGCTGAATTTGACCCAAATTTTCATAGTTTCAGTGCCCCTCAAAATGCATTTTCTTGGGAAATTTACTATTTGCCAAATAAAGTCACCCACCTCTAGTTGAGACTAGCTTACTGGTTTTTCTAAGTGCACTAAAATCCACATGTTTATTTGTTGAAAGTTGCTGTGTCTTGAGGAGGCCTGGGGGCAGGGTTAGTGTTCAAATGACCTCATATTTTGACTAAGGGACACCCCAAATATTCCACCAAACCAAAAAACTAACATGCTGTAGCCAGTGAACCTGAGAAGTACCCATGTGCGGTGAGTTTGAGCTCTGCCCTAAGTAGATTTCAAAGAATGTATATTTTGTGCAAAGAGTCATAGCAATGTAGGACTGGAAGGGACCTCAAGAGGTCTTCTAGTCCAGTCTCCTGCATCCAAGGCAGCACTAAGTAATAACTAGACCATTCCTGACCGGTGTTTGTCTAACCTGTTCTTAAAAATCTTCAATGATGGAGATTCCACAGACTCTTTAGGCAATTTGTTCCAGTGCTTAGCTGCCCTGACAGTTAGGAAGTTTTTCCTAATGTCCAACCTAAACCTCCCGTGCTGCAATTTAAGTTAATTGCTTCTTGTCCTATCCTCAGAGGTTAACGAGAATATTTTTTCTCCCTCCTTGTAACAACCTTTTATGTACTTGAAAACTGTTACCATGTCTCTCCCCCTCCCCACCCCCTCCCAGTCTTCACTTCTCCAGACTAAACAAACCCAGGGTTTTTTTTTCAATCTTTCCTCATAGGTCATGTTTTCTAGACCTTTAATCATTAGTTGCTTTCAGCCTGTACTCTGCATGGTCTTCTTCTGGAAGTTGTGCCCTGAGGATACAGTTTCTGGTTTAAGAGCCATGTTCTGAAATCCACATGCTTAATCAGATTTACGTTAGAAGCATTGCCAAGGAAAATTGAATTAATTAATTAGAGGGAAGATGAAAGACTCTAGTAAGCAGCAGCATTCGGTTAATGTGATCGTGATGCATGCTTCTCATCCCATTCCTGACCAATGGGGCTAATACTCTCAGCAGTGTCAGTGTGATCAAAGGGATTGCTGAGGATCAAGATATGCACCCAGGATAGAGAGCTCTGT